TATATAAAACAAAAGAAGAGAGAGGGGCACAGCGAGAGAGAAAGAGAGAGATAGAGACAGAGAGAAACAGAAAATGAGGGAGAGACTCAAAAAACAGACACTTGTTTATCATAAAACAAAATAACCAAACAAACAAACAAAAGCACAAAAATGTACAAATGGAATATAGACCAGGACACAACTTCATCACTGGCAGTGAAAAACGTGAAGCATTGCACTCCTTCACTCGGCATTCCCTCCCTCCAAAAGCCTCTAGAGGTGCGAGGATGCCGGACGTAGAAGGCAATCAATGGGGGAAAGAAAAAAAACAAATATGGGGAGTAAATGACGCATGCATGCAAAATATGTTTTGACTTATCTACAAAAATGAGATTAACTGAACAAAATACATCCAAATTGGCATCAATAAAAAAAAAAAAACCACCAAAAAATTTGCAAGAACTGAACCATTCTGATTACTCGGTCTGTGAACACATGCTGTTTGATAGGAAAAGAGAAATCACGACTCGGGAGGAATTCTTTTTAAAAAGAAAAAAAATTCCCCCCCCACAAAAACCATGGCGTAACAAGAACAAAAATGCACTGCAGTAAACAGGAAAGCTAGGCAAAGTAAGCACCGTCATTGATTTTGGGGGCTCCCTGACACAAAAAAGACAGGCCCAGAACCCAAAATCTGCCCCAAAAAAGAACTCAACTTTCACACAATATCCGGAGTTTTGAACACCTTGAGTGAACAACACGACGGCCTACATAAGGCCAAACAAGGCTAAGTCAATAAGCACACTGACCATAGCTAGAGGAAAATAAAATAATCCACCCCCTCCCCCAAAAAACAAAAATGATCCCAACAACAAAACAAGGATCTACAAAAATAAAATATGTTAAAAATCCCTACCAGCTGGGAAAGCTTTTACTTAAAGTCAAGAAATACATTTTGAAACTTTGGCAGTTGACGATTACGGGTAGATGAAAACCTCCTTCAACACTGGTCATCTCTTCACTTTAAGAAAAAAAATCAACCCATCAAAAAATGGTCTCTCGAAAGAAAAAATAACCATTTATTTCCAACCCTCATCCTCCCAAAACGAAAAACAGAACCATCCACGAGATCAAAGGTAACCCTACCAACCAGTTGTAAATCTGTATGGTCAATTTAAATATAATGATCCCACCAAAATGAACACATTAATTTCACTTTCTCTGATTGAGACTCAAAGCAGCATAAAGGAACCTGCCACAAACGTTAAAGGCCACTACATTGATTGACAAACTCCCATCTTACTTGAAATTGAACACTTGCTGGGAGAAATTTACGATTCAAAAATCATCAGGAACTAAGACAATGAAGACTAAAGGTATAAACATGGACACACTTTTGTATTCTTAAAACAACTCAAGTAAAAGATAGAAAAAAAACAAAAACATGAGGAGACTAATTGACCAAGATGGTGAACACATGTAAGTGTATAAAGTCTTTCTTCTCGAGGTTGAAAATAAAAACAACCTTCCACTGATTCATACGATGCGTCTTAAACACGCAGGACCCCACTCCAATAGTTTTCACTTCATCTCTATTGCACTCATGTAGCTTTGCGAAAAAAGTGAAAAGAACACACAGAGGCGGAAGTTATCATATTATATATATCTGGCAACCTGTATACACACACATCATTGTAAGTTATTGACACGATTTTGATTTAGGTCAGAGGGAAAAAGGGATGTGGTATGAGCAGGCAAAGGAAAGTCTTGAGGGCGTGCTGTAATAATTAGGCGTAAAAAAAAAAAAGTGAACACAGGACAAGATGTAATATCTTCCCCGGTCCTCCCCAAACCCAAACCCTTCCAGTCACCATTCCTTCATACAATAGTAAGGCACATCGACAGCTGCAACATTAGGTAGCCACAGGAAATCTTTCTCAACTTCTCCCGTATCTCGCAATGGGACCCTCCAAAAGTTACAAAATCAAGAAAAAAAATTCCTCTTGCAGAACCTCAATCCAATCTGCTTTCAAAGAAAAAAAAAACAACCCAAGAAGACAGAACACAAGTTTAAGTAAATTGATCGATCCATGTATATAAGTACATGAAAATATTACGCAAAGATTTTTAATTGCACTACTTTGTCAAAGCACCTTAATGAAACAAAAATCTGATTTAAAAAATTGTCTTTTAAAAAAAATGAACACAGCTTCCTGAACACTTGCCCATCCTGGGTCTGTCAACCTCGCACACCACAACATACATGAGAAGCACGGTCAGCAAATAGCAGGATGTGAAATGTCCAAAACTGTAGTAGAAAAATGTAAGAAGATACTGCGAAAGTATCCCTGGGACGTTGATTGAAAGCCAAATCCAACACGATGAATTATTATTCAGCTATTATGCCTTTCTTCATGAAATATCACAAGGTGACGCGCTTCTGACAAAGGAACTATGAGAGTCTCACTATATAAAACACCAGATGTCAATTACCCCTTGTACAACGCTTGAGAAGTGCGAGACGACGCGATCAGATCAAAGTTTTATTAAACTCTACTGATGAAAAAGTGCTAGGCTTGAGGTGAAAAGCATTATAGATCCTGATTTGAAGGATGACAATTTGAGGTGAAAAGCAGTAAGATCCTGATTTGAAGGATGACAATTTGAGGTGAAAAGCAGTAAGATCCTGATTTGAAGGATGACAATTTGAGGTGAAAAGCATTAAGATCCTGATTTGAGGGATGACAATTCACATTGATGGAAAGAAACAAGCTCTTATCCCCCTTGATGAAAGCAAATATTATAAAGTTAGATGGTGGAATGCTGATTTTTTTTTTTTCCTCATCGCAAAAACAGTGGAGTGAAGTATGGCAAAGAAAAGCACTTCTTAAAAAGTAAGAAAATACAACAGATATTTAGAGAACCCCCCCCCCCCCCCAAAAAAAAAAAATAATAAAAAAATAAAAAAATAAAGAAATCAAAAAGCTTTCCAAAGCAAAAGGAGCTTGCTAGTCCATCATGCGCCTTTGACAGGCATTCAGCTGAGATGAAAAAGCTCAAATAAAAAAAAAGAAACAAATTAAAATCAAAACAACCTCCCCTAGATAAAACTGGACATACTTTCAGTCATAAAAACGAAAGCGGACAACAAAGAGGAGGTAAAGAAGAGAATCGAACACACAACCCTTCCAGAGAGAGCCAGTGTCTGCATCGTAACGAAATGGTCTATTCGACACGTTTCCACATTGAAGTCCAGCAAACGACGGGACAAGGAACCGTATCTTTTTTAAAGCAGTTGTAAAAGTCAGAGCAGAACATAAAGCCATACTGGAAAACACATACATACGTATCGCCACAGAGGAGTAGGAGAGCCAAACATCAACCAAAAAAATGCTTTTAAAAAAATGAAAGTAATTTGCTATGAGGGGAAAAAGTGGGGAAAAAAAAAAAGGAGAATCGGGTTGGGGGCGGGGGAAGGAAGGAGGGAGGGAGGAAGTGAAGGGGAAAGGTCATAGCGAGGAAATCCATGCTGCCTGAACCATTGTTTAAGAAGGAAACAATGAAATGAGAAGAGAAATCGGCGGGTGCTTTACCTCGTCGGAAGGAGGGAGGAGAAGGAGGAGGAGGAGGAGGAAAAAATATCATAATTGATGGAGAGACATTCACAGATTCTAGATGCATCCCTGATGGGGAAGTGAAAGAACTCATCATCAGTTGTTTGTTTTTTTCAAATCGAACACCCAAAACAGTTACATTCTGATGGGGTTAAGATAACTGAAGCCTTCTTCTTTCACAGCAGATTTTAAAAGAAAAAACAAAGCCACAACACAAAAGACTCATCTTCGCTGCCACTCATGAGAAATGAAACTGGTTCCCCGACATTTTATACAACTTGGGACTGGGACTAAAGGAGAGGAACGGAAGGGTGTCATCACTTTCTCACACTTTTGGATAGATACAGTTATTTATATATATTTATATTATAAGTGTATATACTGACCACATACCCAGATACACGATAGTTCAGAGAGAGAGAGAGAGAGAGAGAGAGACAGAGAGAGAGAGAGAGAGAGAGAGAGAGAGAGAGAGAGAGAGAGAGAGACAGACAGACAGACAGACAGACAGACAGACAGACAGACAGACAGACAGACAGACAAACAGACAGACAGACAGACAGACACAGAGAGAAAGAGAACGAAGTAGAGAGACAAATCACTGAGGAATTAATACTTTTGTTATTAGATGTGCGCTGTCTTCGAAAAGTCTTAACGACCGAGTCAAGGTTCAAGCCGGTCAACAAAACCACCATCACAACAGTGAGCAACAACAAGAACACCCAAACTGACCTTGGGTGAGGGCAGAGAGAGAGAGAGAGATATGGCAGCAGGCTACCAGACGGCCTAACTCTAGTCCATAAACCAAAAAAACCCCAGCCCATACATCATACGTCATCAGGCATGACACTCCCTCAAAGTCCTCAACATATCCGCTATAGCTGGCTACCGCACAGTCAAAATTCACAAAAGAAATGCAGACACTTCTTATGAACTTCAAAATATATATGCAAAGGTTGAAATACCCCAAAACAACCATCCAAAAAAATCTATCTTAAATTAAAGCAACCATACTCAGACATCGGTCTTAAAATTGCAGTCATAAACATTATTAAAATCTATTTCAACGTAAATCCTCAACAATCAAAATGGCCCATCCATAACAACAGGTCTGACCTGTGTCAAGTAATGATAAATGATAAGTTTTATTTCCAGGGTATTTTCCCATTACTTACTACCTATTCTTAACTTTCACTATTATCATTATTTATCATCATTTACTGTCTAATTTGTTGATAAGCTCTGTTCAAAAACATATTTATTTATATTGAGCATGTCAATGCGAGTTTCGCACTGTAGAAATTGTGCTTAAACGTTACGATGTTTTCAAGAAATGCAAAATCACTCACATCGATTTCCAGGACAGATTGGGAAAAGAAAAACTATTTTTCTGACCGTTTACTTCCAGATGAAAAGTATCGTACATTTCTAGCCCCCCCAAAACTTTCCATTACACTCATCATAGATTTCTTAAGAAATGTAAAACATGTCAGATCTTTGGCAGTTCCGAGCGCCAACATGGCAATTGAGATTCAAATAAATTTTGCAGATCTGATCAGACAAATCAAAATCTTTTCCTTCAAGTAGGGGTTACTAAATCCATTAAAAAAAAATAAACAAGATATCAAATATTTCCCTTTTACACAATGAGTCTTTCATTCCGAGAACTATGAACCACCGTGAGAATGCTCGCAGACATAATTGTTGCCCTCTGCAAAAATGGTAAAGAGAGAAAATAAAATTTTTGTTTCATATAAATCCAAATTTGTCGTCAGTGGTTTCAGTACTGAAGATTTGGACGACAAAGCACTATACGGGAGGAGATTCATATTCAACGCGGATGGAACACCAGCCAGCCCAAGACAAAACACGGGCAAGAATCAGAAAAGGGGTGAAACTTAACACCTGCAAAATTCCCACCACAACTTTTCTCTCTCAGTCGAGCCCAGCACTTGGTGAAGAAATGGCCCTCTGGTACCAACGTGACCAGGTCCAGAAAAAACCAGTAGCCAACAGTAACTATTCACCCCTTTGCTTCTGTCAGACTAAACCAAGAGTCCACTCTCAAAAGAAGTAAAAGACTATTGATATAGAAACTTTCATTGGGTAAAACAAAGAAAAAAACAAAACCCAAACACCTGCAGATCCAGCTACTGAGATAAATCCAACAAGAAAAACAAAGGAAGAACAAAACTCACTCTGTCAGAAGAGAAAGAGAGAAAGAGTGCACAAAAATTATATAAGTCCAGTGTCTGTGAAAGCATTCTATTATATATACGTATATAATATATATATATAGATAGATTCTTATAAGGAATGCTTTTCACATTCATGTTAAAGCTTTTAACACCCCACATACGTAATACAATGTGGGTAAAATAATATGACAAGCCAAATGCTCACCTGCAGCAAAATGTATGGGTACAGAAACAGAGGAATACTAAGAAACAAAGAGAAAAAAATTCCTATACAAAACATACTTGTACAATCCTTCCTTGTTTTGAAACAAAATTACAAAACAAAACAAAACAGCAAAAGAGCAACTGAACTAAATAGTTCGTTGTTGTTTTTGTACAGAATAATAAAACATCGCAATACGAGAGAACGTCAGTCTTGGGTAATGATAATTTTTCTTCCTCTTTACGCGGCTAGCTAAGCCAGACAAAACTAGACAGTGTCAATCACCATCGACAGTCTGGCGCTAAAACGCCCAATCGTCGTCCGTCGAATTTGTGTTTATATGCTTCTGTATTTTTTCTATCGACGACGACGAGGACTCTTTCTCTCCCTCCTCGTCGTCCCAATGTCCTACAGCGGACTTGATCGCTTTCTGAATCTTCTCAATCTTTTTGATGCGGTGGGTGGTGGCGTTAGGGTCTTTGGTACCTTCTGGACCATTCCGCGAGGACGCTGCGGATGAGTTTGTGGGCGTATCCCTGTCGGGAGAAGAAGTGGATCCCCGGCCGAGATAATCCCCACCGCCACTACCTCCGCTAGTGCTACCGTTTATTTCTACGCAGAGCGTAGCATCTCTCGAGGCGGAAATACTAAGTGAATCTGCAGACGCACGACCACCACCACCACCCTCGGCAGGACGTTCAAAATTGCCGTCCTCCTCCTCCTCCCCTTCCAAGCTCTCCTCGATGGCTTCGTTGCGAAGCTGCAGTTTCTCAGAGCTGGCCGTTCGGTCCAGCTGGGCTCCCTCAAAGACCCTCTGTGGGTTGGAGCGTTTTCGTTTGTTGACACTGCCGCCAACGACAGGCGTCGCAACGCCAGGCACTGCTGGTGGGGGGTTACTGCCCCGATTCTCCGCCGAACCATCCCTGTGGTTGTCCCCCTTGTAGTCACGACTACCACCAGCGGTGGCGGCACTTCTTGAACCTTCTCCCTCCTCCCCTTCCTCATTTCTCTCCATCCCCTCTTTCTCTTTGGTATTATTGTTGTTGTTGTTATTGTTATTACTGCTGCTGGCCGCAGCGGAACAGCTACTGGTATCCATTCCGTCTGGCTCGTCCATTTCGTCGTCGTCCGCGAGCTCGACGTTGTTCTCCTTATTATCCTCCCCGTTATCGTCGTCGGTGATGGACGAAGGCACTTTATGGATGAGGGGCACCGCCTCAAACTGCGGGAACATCCACTGGTTCAGGTCGGCCGGAGCCATACCCCCGTGGAAGTAATGGCTGCCGGTGACGGGAGTAGAGTTGGCGCTGACCTCGCCCGACACGCTGGACATGTCGCTCTGGTTGGAGCTCTCGTCCGGCTCCGACTTGATGGAGGGGTCGTTGCTCCCCGTCCCACCACCGCCCCCACCAGGGTTCGAACCCGTGCCTGTATGGTGCTGCTGCTTGGCCCGCATGCGGTGGTTGTGGAACCAGTTGATGACCGTTTTCACGCCCACGTTGAGGCTTTTGGCCAGGCTCTCGATGGTACTCTGGTTGGGGTAGGGGTCCTGGGCGTACGCCTGGCGCAGCGAATCCTTCTGGTCCTCCGTGAAGAAAACCCGCGGCCGCTTGGGCTGGGTGGGTGAGTCGAAGCATCGGTCCTCCATGCTGCTTTTACGACGCCGGTGTGCTGTAAAAACGAAACAGAAAAAACTCATTTGAAAACAAATTTAAGTACCACATCAAAATTCATAAATCATACTGCATTCATACTACGTTTTAGCGTACATAACATTTTTTGGTCTGCGGTAGCTACAGGCAGACACAAAAATAAAAAATTTCTAAAATGAATGTGTATATCTAAACATAAAACTAAAAACATTACTAATCAAAAGGTACCTGATTTAATACAAAGATCAAGCATTATTTACACAAATGAGTTCAATCTACATGACCCTTTTTTCTTCAATTTTTCAACTCATTCAAAAGAAGAAGTTAACAATACATTATGGGGAAGGG